ATCCTCTTTTCAAGGAGTCTTGATTTTTCAAATTTTCAAGTCGTTAGTTAGGTATCCTTGGAGGCCCTTTTTGATTTGTCTGGAATTTTCATTCTTCGGTTGTTTTAAAAACAATGTATATATGTCTCCCCTCCCTCCCTCCTCCAGCGTCTTCGTGAGGAGATATTTACCCAAACTCGAAGAAAAGCAGCAAGCACCGAAAGCCACGATCCTCAGAAAGGCCATGGAGTACATTCGACACATGCAGGAACTGGAGCAGGTGGCCGAGGCCGAACTGGTTGCCGAGAAACGATGGAAGCTCCGCCTCATCGATCGACTAAAGCAGGTCTGTTTAATTAACCCTTTCCCTCCGCTCTCTAGAAGTTATTTCTTAGACACCATCTATTGCTATTTATCACTTTCCAATCAATATATTATTATTCCAATCTATTGCTATTTATCACTTTCAAAATGTTTGGCCTGTCTTTTTCGTTTGTTGTAAAAAGTTTTTAAAGGGTACTATAGCCATTGAGAACTAACGTTGTGATCCGTGCACTTTACAAAGGCAATGTCCAAATAGCTACTAAAAATGGGCAAACATAATACACCAAAGGCAATAATGAGTGAATTTTCATCGACATTTTTGACGTTACTTCAGGGCATGTCATGCACCCTGACAATTATGGTATTATTGCCAAACATGTCGCTTTTTAGATGGTGATTGTAAAGTGACCTCTGGGACATGTAGGGGTTGTCGTTTCAGCCAATTCCTTGGAGGCCAATTGCTGACATGCTGGCTTTTAAGCTTCCTGTAGTCATCAAGTGCTTTCGATTCGTTGAAGATTTTTAGCAGACCTGCAACCTCAAGTTTTTGTTCAATGTTATCCTTGTCCAGTGGCTTCATAAAAGGTTTATGGTGCAGTAGCAGCCAAAGCAAAAAAATTCCGGGCCGGGAGAGCTGCTGGTCATCTACTTCTAGCCAGCAGACTCTCTCTGAAGTGAGAAGAATATCCTCTGTACAATCATACAGGAGAATGAGGAGTAGAATGGCAGTAGAAGGAGCAGTAGAATGAGTAGTAGAATGAGCAGTAGAATGAGCAGTAGAATGAGCAGTAGAATGAGCAGTAGAATGAGCAGTAGAATGAGCAGTAGAATGGCAGTAGAATGAGCAGTAGAATGAGCAGTAGAATGAGCAGTAGAATGAGCAGTAGAATGAGCAGTAGAATGAGCAGTAGAATGGCAGTAGAATGAGCAGTAGAATGAGCAGTAGAATGAGCAGTAGAATGAGCAGTAGAATGAGCAGTAGAATGAGCAGTAGAATGAGCAGTAGAATGGCAGTAGAATGAGCAGAAACATGAGGATTAGAATGCCATTTAATGCTCATTATACTGCTCCTTCTACTGCCATTCTACTGGTATTCTACTGCTCATTCTACTGCTCATTCTACTGCTCATTCTACTGCCCTTCTCCTGCCTTTATACTGGCATTCTACTCCTCATTCTTCTGCTCATTCTACTGCCAGTCTACTGCTCATTCTACTGCTCATTCTACTGCCAGTCTACTGCTCATTCTACTGCTCCTTCTATTGCCATTCTACTGCTCAGTCTACTGCTCATTCTACTGCCATTCTACTGCTAATTCTACTGCCATTCTACTGCTCATTCTACTGCTCATTCTACTGCTCATTCTACTGATGATTCTACTGCTGATTCTAGTAGAATTAGCAGTAGAATGAGCAGTAGAATGTGTACTGCTCTTTCTACTGCCATACTACTGGCATTCCACTCCTCATTCTTCTGCTCATTCTAGTGCCATTCTACTGCTCATTCTACTGCTGATTCTACTGCTCATTCTACTGCCATTCTACTGCACATTGTACTGCCATTCTACTGCCATTCTACTGCCATTCTACTGCCATTCTACTCCTGCTCATTATTACTACTAGAATCAGCAGTAGAATCATCAGTAGAATGAGCAGTAGAATGAGCAGTAGAATGGCAGTAGAATGAGCAGAAGAATGAGGAGTAGAATGCCAGTAGAGCTCTTCGTTATATTAATAATTGAGACGATAAACAGAAATAGAATGTTAAAAATAGATAGATAGAAATAGAATGTGACGAGTGAGTGTCTTCACTTCCTTCTTCTTTTCAGCTAAAAAGGGTAAAAAAAGTAGCACATCCATGTTACTTTGGTCTTTACTTTTCCTACTTCCTCGTCTTCTTTAACATCTTCCCGCTCTTCCAACATCTTCCTCATCTTCTTGAGCTCAGCCTCAACCTTCTTGAGCTCAGCCTCAGACTTCTCGAGCTTATCCTGAAAAAAGGTGTACACAGATATTAGACACAAATATTAGACACCTACCTTCAAGGCGTCAACTGTCAGTTCTGGCTCCATAATTTCACGGTATGATTTCTTTAGGTGGTGGGGTATTCCCCATATGCCTGGGTCCAAGGATTCAAATTCCGACCAAATAGTAGAAATATAAAAATTAATAAATGCAAAAAATTTCCAATCCAGCGACTTAACACCAAAGTTGGAGGAATTAAAAAACAATTGCACACTGGAGGTCACAACAGCTTCAATACAACAACACCCTAGCTTCGAGAAAGGGAAAAAATGAATCGAACTTCATCCTCGCAGAATAGAATTGCCAATGGTGGGAATTGGAAATTATCTAGGGTAGTAATATAAAATGAATACATTTAAAACAGATGACTGACCATTGTCGGGACGTTGTCTCGATTGCTTTCGAGCAATGTAGTACCCTATTGTCTGGCACACAGCATGGTCATTAAAACTGGCCTTCCTTTTCACTTCAACAAGTGCACACACTGAAGTTAACTCTGAACCTTTATTTACTTGAAGTGAATATAGCATTGGTCACATAAAAAGAACCGACTCACGGGTGTTTTGGGGGAGGGGGCCTCGGGCGGGAGCACAGGTGAGGGGGCCTTCTCAGTCTGAAATGAATTTGTTTCGCAAAAAGGAAGAAACAAGGGGTCATTACACAGCAAAGATGCACCAAGCTACATGACACCATCCCTATATCTTTGTGTTATATAATAGTTCACAAGTAAAGTTTACTATGAGACAAAGATATAGGGATGGTGTCATGTAGCTTGGTGCATCTTTGCTGTGTAATGACCCCTTGTTTCTTCCTTTTTGGTGCTTCAAGCCATCCCTATATCACCCCTTCATTTTGAAGAAATGATTTTTCCACATGTACTACTACGTACATCTCTGTGAAAGGGGGCAAGCCCCCTATAAAAATTAACAATAGAGAAAAATGCCTGTGGTTGTCATATCCGTAATATGCATGCGTACCAATTTTCATCTCCATGCCGTTAGCAAGTTTGAGGAGTGAAGAAAGAAAAGTGTCTGAGGCTATTTGTTGTTGTGGTCGTCATGGAAACAATGTAATACACATGTGTACCAAGTTTCATTTCCATGTATGCTACAGTTAGTGAGTTTGAGGAGTGAAGAAGTAGTTTTAAAGAAAATTGCCTGAACCTTTGTCAAACAATATTCGGTCGTCATGGAAACATGTAATCGTCATGGTAATGATACATACCAAGTTTCAACTCTATGCGTGCTACCATTGGAAAGTTTGAGAAGTGAAGAAGTAAAAGTGCCTGATCTGAGTCTATTCGTTGTTATTTACAAACATGTTTGTTGTGATTTTGATGTTGGCTATTGAATACATTGTGTATACAAACTTTTGTTCACATCAATTGTGAGTTACACTGACACATGTAGTATGCCATTATAATGTATTGCCTGGGGCAATTTTGTTGTTGTTTACAAACAAAAAAAGTATGATGTTGCACATGTGGTTATGGATATGTACATTCCTACAAAATTTCATGGCTTTATTACCCTCGGCGCGCATGTGCAGCGAGGGAGGGTACAGTAGTTAGGTCTGTCTGTGTGTGTGTCTACTCAACATCTCACTTCTCCAATTTTCTGACCCTACCGTTTACGGAAAGCAATAGCCCTATGTAAAGCAATCTCCAGTTCTTCATTCTGTATATAGACAGCAGGGATGACAATGTCAAAGACAAATGAAGTAGCTACTGTAGTATAGTTCATGACCTATTTTCCTTTGTTCAAGAGGTTCAATTGTGTATATCACAAGCTGTTGATTAGAACAACACTGCTTCGCCATTGCCTCATGTTCTTTTTGCGGCCAAACAATAATCATAGTTAACTGTGTGCAGTATATATAGAGCTATGTATCTATGTGACGGTGCAATCTAGAGCTAGTAGTTTTGAGGTTCGGGGAGAGCTCTGGTGGCAGTGGTGGTCAGTGGAGGGAGCTGGACTCGAGATGGCACATTGGCAAACCTGTGATAAGGAGACAATAATAATCATCAGCATCTGAGGAAATCATCGTTCTGTTTTTCTAGGTCAAGCAGGTTGTAACAAAAAGCACTGAGTTTTGGGCTATGGATTTGTCAGTTTCAAAGACCCACACCACTTTATACAGGCCATGATGAGCAGTCTTCATTACTCTTAGGAAGTTATGACTGCTGCTAAAATACATGCGTCAGCGAAAAGGGTTGGCATAGTGAGCGAAGAATGTTGGCTAAATCATTAACCTCTTCATGATGAAGCGTGGTTTCTCAGCCTGGCGTTCAGCTGGCTCCACTCCACACACTCTTCTTGCCCTCATTGTGTGCTCCTCCAGCTTCCTCCTCTGGGTCTCTCGCCTCTCCTTCACCTGTGGATAGGGAGGAAGAGCTACATGCACCTGAGCAAAGCCTTGTGGGGATGAATCTCATTAGTTCAAAACCACAAGTGCTGCGCTCAACTTTGCCTTTATAAACTCGTGATGCCAGAGAGAGAAGTAGCGGTATGCTTTGCTGATGAGGGCTAACAAGCCCGAAACAGCAGAGCTCCGCATCTTTTTTCTCTTGGCATCACATGGTCTATTGTTACAAGTTTAGTGCTCTGATCCATTTGCTATAGACAAGGAAACCATAGGGAGATTTTTTCCCTCATGTCTCGCAGTTCTTATTACATTCGCATTACACGTTACACGAAAGTCTTCTCCATTTAAAGTTTCCCGGTATAGTTTACTGCCACGTATTCTACATTAGACCCCCGGTACCTCGCCAGTAGCGCTTGCGTCGCCCCTGGCTATACCAGCTAGGGTCTTGTTCTCTTTCTTACGAGCCTCAGCACATTCAGTAGACACGATAACAGCTGCCATTAGACTTGGCTAGTGCTAGACTGGCCCCACGTCTCTATGTTACTTATATACAATTTTATTAATAGGATATGCGTATATAGTGTCTCGGTCTTTACAAAAGCAACCCATTATAGGTAAATAGTTCAGTTAATTGCGCACTAGTCTCTGTTTCTCAAGTGCCTTCTGTTCTCTTTCTTCAGCCATTCCTTCTGATAGTCCATGGCCAGTAGCTGCATCATGTTTACCGCTGGCTCTCTGGGAGTTGGGAGAGGAAGAGGATTATATACTCCTCAGAGAAACGTGTACTGCAAAATTAAAGGGAATGTGTCAGTATAATTATAAGGGTTAAATTTAGAAACACTATCTGTTATTGTTAAAACAAAATGTTGTCGTCATGGAAACGATGTGATACACATGCATACCAAGTTTCATAACTTAAATTGCATTCTTGCACGGGCCTCATTGCTTAGTTGTAACATTTCTACGTTTTAGCCCTTATCTACTGCCACGTTCCCTTTAATGTTTGAAAGTGTGAAGCAGTGAGCCTGAGAGGGAGAAACTATAATTATAGTGAAATCCACAAAGTCGAGAAATTAGTGTAATGTCCCTAACTTCATCACTCATGTGGCATATGGAGTACCACCCAACAGAGTAAATTTTGACAATGGACATGTGTATTCTCTATCAACATACGCTTTTGGCAGTTTGATGGGTGTTTTTTCAGAGGACTTCTTGTGAGGACGTAGAGCCTGATCTCTCTTCCTCCTCCTCTTCTTCTCCGGCACTTCCTCCACCAGTGACGAAGGCCAGTCGAGGAGGGAGGGGGGGAGGGTGGGAGGAGGGGGAGAGCAGGAGTGGGAGGGGGAGGCGTGGGCAAACCAGTCTACAACTGGGTAAGACACGGGTTCCTGTCCATCTGGTCTGCTGTACTCAATGTGCTGCAGGAGGTCTGGGGAGGGAGGCAGGGTACTTGTTAGTTCTCTTTCAGCTTCTTAGCTCACCTTTCCTTCCCCCTGCCTTTGCCAATGTGACGAAACTAACATCCTCTTTGCTCCAACCTCCGTCTTCCATTCGATTCTCAACCTCTTCAGGAACAACGCATGCGTATATGTAGAGCGCGAGTGTTTGTTGGACAGCGGTGACCATGGGAACGGGTATATTCTAATAAATGCACACGTCGTTGAGTTCGCGATCTTTGGCAAGGAGCAAAACCCCAGAGGACCAAGTGTCAGAGAAACGATGGACGAGGGAGGAGGGGGAGTGCAGGTCCTAGGAGAAGAGGAACAAGGAGAGGTAAGTCGTAACTCCTCGCGAACACTAAGTTCGGTTTAGCGACAAACGCACCCACTCAACTATGTATCGCAGGAATGGGCGATAACCAGTCCGCTGCACCTGGCGGCGTACAGTGGAGACCTTTCTCAACTCCAGGAGGCCCTGAAAGAGAGTAAGAAGAACTCTTGCCTTATTCCCTACCTCCTCTCCATTCACTACTACATAACGTACAGCAACCGTTTTCCTCCCATTCTCTTATATGGACTGCCACAGTGCCGGTGGACAGTGTTGATGAGTATGGTAGAACACCTGTCATGTATGCCGCCATGGCCGACAGAGAAGACTGTGTGGAGCTGCTCGTCAAGAAAGGGGCCTCCCCCAATATCCAGGTTCACTAGTATTCTACTCTTGTGTAGCATGCCACTAATTCTAAAGTTGGTTACAAGTTGTATGAGTCAACAGTACTTGGAAAGAAAAGAAGTTCACTTTACGTGTTTTTCATTTCGAGGTTTTGCTTTTCCTTCGGACCCACGGTTCACTTGTTTCATGGCTTTCTGTGAAAGGAAGGGAGTATCATCAATTGGGTGACTAGGAATGCTCATCTTGCTCTAGTATGTACAAGTGTGCCTTGTATGAAGGCCGGCTGGGGTAGTCTCGCGTAGTCAAACATTTTAGTTTAGAACTTTAGTTGGGTGTGTGCTCTATGCACAGCATTGGTTAGCACGCTTGGTCAATGTGTGTGCTGTGCATGCAGTGTGATATAAAGTTACCCATTATAAGTGGAGGCCTGCTAAACAAGAAGGTCTAGAGTCAGTGGACCAGCCACTTTGTCCCCGTGAGTAAGAGTCTGGCCACACAATACTAGGCCAGGGTACGAGGAAAGCCAGTGTGCCCCTCCCACCCTGTCCTGCAGTGTGTCAGTCCTCTCTTCCCCCACGCAGGATGGGAATGGTCAGACAGCAGTCCACCTGGCAGCTGTCAGTGGAAGCCATCGCTGTCTCAGAACACTCATCTCCAAGAACCCTGACCTCCGCGTGAGGGACATTGACGGGAGGTGAGTGGAGGAAAGAGACCAGCTAATATAATGTATCCTCTCCCTTACTTCGTCTTATTCAGGACACCTCTCCACCTTGCCACCAGCCACTCCAGCTCTAAGGTAAAACTTTTGTCATGTTGGTAGAGCGCTAGCCTAGCCTAGACTGCAGAGTGTCGTGGGTTCGAATCCCACCCAGGGCAGCTCTTCTTTCCTTGGAAATAAGAGTTGTCCTGAGTGTAGTTGACTTGTTTGTTCTTCCTTTGCCTTTCTACCTCACCTCGTTGCTGTCACATTTAGAACTCACACATTGTTGTACATATTGAGACTGTATGATACAGGTATATACCTTCACTATTAGTGGTGTGTGTCCTCTCTCCAACAGTGTGTGTCCACAATTCTCCGCAAACTGAAGTCTCATGAGCTCAACGATACTGACAACGAGAAGGTCTGGCACCATCTCCTCTCTCTCTCCCCTCTCTCTTTCTCTCTCCCTCCCTACTTCCTCTCTCTCCCTTTACGTCTCTCTCTCTCACTCTCATCTCGTCTCTCTCTCCCTCTCCTATCCTCTGCTCTCTGTCTCGCTCCTTCCTCTGTCTCTCTCTCCCTCTCTTGGCTTATAGCAGCAGGTTTATGAGCAATGCTGTATTGTGTGGTGTGTGTTACAGATGACGGCCTTACATTGGAGTGCCTATAACAACACCACTGAGAACATCAAGGTCCTCATGAAGGCTGTGAGTGGATCCACTGACACACTCTCTTTTACTCCATCTTTTCCCGTCTTTCTCCTTTATACCCGTGTACATACAATATGTATGTACCCTCCACACTACTCATGAAGGTATTAGACCATGTGATGCCAAGAGAAAAAAGATGTACATGCAATATGTACCCTCCACTCATGTATGTACATACATACAATATGGGACACAAAATTGAGTTTTGGAAAGAAAAAGCTTAAGTCAGTTTACTCTGCAACTTGCCTATTGCTTTTGGTGTGCATCGGAGTGGCTTTTCACCCTTACAGCCTGGGCTCGTAATTTAGTCCCCCAGTTACTACATTCACCCCTAAAAGTGTAAAAAACCTCCCTCCCTTCTCTCTCTCTCCCTTCTCCCTCTCTCCCTCTCTTTACTCTGTCCACACGGTGTAAAGGGAGCAGATATAGCGGTGACAGACATGGACGGAAAGACGGCTCTCCACTGGACAGCCAACAACCAGGACCCCTCCTCGGCCAGGGTCCTCTGTGAGCTGGCTCCTCTGGCCGTCAATTTGAAGGATATTGAGGGGAGGACTGCCCTCCACCTGGCCGTGGTGGTTGGGAACAGACCTGTCGCTGAGACCCTGGTGAGGAGGGAGGAGGGGTGGGTGGATGAGAAAGACCTTACATTATGTTGAACCTTGCATTATGTTGAACATAGGGGCTTCCCATATTGCTAGTGGTTGTTTAAAAATGACAGCCAAGCGTAGCATGTTTGTGGATCAACAGATTTAAGATTTTGTGCACATGACAATATGTGCTTACCAAGAAAACATTGCATCCTAATATGGAATGTGTATATGCAACGGAAAAACTTAAGCGAGTGAGAACGAACTAGTGTTACAATCCACCACCTTACACCGTCTGTGCCCCTTGCACTACACGTGTAGGGTGGGCTCAAATATTCCGTATTTCGCACATTGTTGTGGCTGGGTGTACTTCACATATCTAGCAGAGTATAAGTGGTCAAGAGAGGTTGATAATAGCCAGAGAGGCTGATTATTCCAACTAATGTAAGTAAGGCTGTTGAGGCTGAGGAATCGTCCAGGCTGTTGAAGTTGAGGATAATTGAGTTGTGCTCTCTACAAACATGTCATAATGTCCTACACCTTGGTGCCAGTCTAGTGTCCTCCACCCCAGATGTCAGGAGTGGGGACGGCGAGGTGTGACCTGTCAGCGGCAGACATGGAGTTCCGCACGGCCCTCCACTGGGCCGCCGTCCTCGGTAACTCTGAGATGGTGGCCCTCCTCCTGGAGAGGGGGGCCTCCGCCCACGCCCAGGACTCTGTCGGAGCCACACCCCTTCATTATGCCGTGAGCTACCAGTTGTCAGGGGAGGAAATGTCATTATTTTCTCTCTCCTCTATCTCTCAGGCTCAGAATAATCATGTGGTAAGAAACTCAGAAACAGTTTGAAACTTGCTGTAGCTCTTTGTATATTAGTTACCAAAAGATATCCCCGTGCTGCTTTTGAATTATCCTGTGACCATGGGTAAAAGAAGTTCATGTCATGAAATTGATCAGATTGTAGAATTTTCTGTGCATGAAGTTGTGTTTAGCACACTAGCCTCAAGAGAAAGAAAGCTGCAGCGCCCCCAGTTCCTCCCTTTCTCCACACACACACAACCAAACGTCCAAACCCCACCTCAAGTTCTGTAGAAATATATGTCTGTGATATGTGGGTCAATAGGAGTGTGTGTCGGTGATGCTGAGCAAGGCCAGTGGTATAGAGGAGAGTGGAGATAAGGAGGGGAGGACTGCTCTCATGTGGGCCGCCCAGCGAGGCAACTACCCTGTCCTCAACACCCTCCTCCAGGCTGGCAGCAATCCCAACACTGTCGACCTCTTTGGGGCCTCAGGTCAGGCATTACTATATACACATGTACACTGGGTTGTTTTAACTGTGGGTACTGACCCATGGAACCCCTCTAATCTGGACACCAGTGGGAGAGAATAAAATGATGAGGTTTCCTTATTTCAAAAAACTTGTTCTTGGAGAAGGATTCAGGGGCTCAGGTCTGGCATTACTGTGCATACATTGCATGACTGTGGTTACTGAGCCATCTAATCTGGACACGTGGGACAGAAGAAAGTGTCATCATTTATAGTGAGGTGCCCTTATTTCAGGGGTTAATTGCATGCAAGGGAGAACAGGGTGTCCTTATTAGAGAGGTGTCCTCATATCAGGGGTGTCCTTAGAGTGGGGTTCAACTGTAGATCATATGGTCTCTCTGTGTCTCTCCCGTGTGTAGCTCTGCACGCTGCAGCTCTCTCTGGACATGCCAACTGTGTTCAACTACTGCTACAGGTACACATCTTGCCTGCCACATGTGAACTATAAGCAGCTCACACAAAGAGGAGAAATGGGGAAACCAGTGCTTCATGACATGTACAGTATGACCAGCCCCTTAAACCCTCAGGAATGTATAGTAGAGACTAATTAACGAGCAACAAGCTTACCATTGGCCTATTTTAGGCAAATTTCACGAGTGATTGGTTCAAAGAGTTTCTAGCACTATATGTGTGACATTCTACATACATACCACTGAATACACTCTACTAACCTGTATGTAGGGCCAAACAACCTCCGTATGATGTACATATGTGTGTGACATGTGTCATGTACAGCATGGAGCAGAGAAGGATCTGCAGGACTCCAATGGCTACACTCCACTGTTCAGAGCCTGCGAGAAAGGTCACACAGAGGTCACCATGGTCCTCATCCATGCCGGCGCACAAGTCATGCTCCAGGTATATACGTCTATAACAATTAGCCTGTTGTCAATATAGCCACCTTATGTGTATACTGTGGTAGAGGTGTATGCAGACTTTCCAGTCTTGGCTTATAAAGAGAGTATATAATTATGATAAGGGTTAAATTTAGAAACGGTTACTAAAATTAGCTCACTAGGTCCTATTGTTAACCCTCGGTGCGCATGTGCAGCGAGGGTTACTGTAGTTGGGTTTGTGTGTCTGTGTGTCTGTTACTCGTCATCTCACTTCTCGGGTGTTCGTTCGTCTCACAAAGGATACCACCTACTGAATGGCCAATGAAGGTCAGACAATTCGAACGGTTTTCCCTGAAAATGCTCCGTTACAAAACTAGAGCGCGAAAAAGGCAATATGCAAATACACTACGGCATGATCGATCCGCGTGCTCTGCGTACTTCGGAGGCACCAGAAGATGCAACGCAGGGCGTGTATCGCCTCTCACATGCTATCTAGTAGTGTAGTTAGCCTGCGTCAGACTCTGCGCGAGCTGACAAGAGACCACGAGTAACAGCTAAAACTAAACTCAGCCCATCAATTAGTGGTACGGCGCATGCATTAACTTACATACGCGTGCGCGTCACAGTGCGCCGAGGGTTTGCACTTCAGTGCTTTTCATTTAGTACTGTCACAGTCTCTACAATACTAGCCTGAAATGTATGTACCGCATTATGTCGTGTTTCATTTTATCTTCTGCTCTGTGTGTGTGTGTGTGTGTGTGTACAGGACAGCAGTGGAAGGAACTGTCTTCATTGGGCAGCCTCAGGTGGTCATCCAGTCATCTGCTCCTCCCTCCTCACTCAGAATGTCCCCGTTGACGTCCTCGACCATAGAGGGTACGTTCTAGGTGGAGCCTACTTCTCTAATGTGGACAGAAAACAAGTCACTTGTGTGCTGCTGATGGTCTGATGCGAGTGGTGCATGCTCTGTGTGGTACAGAAATAGTACAAGCCACTACTTATCAATTTTCCTGTGACTATACAGTGGATAAGGGACCCTCCGAGATAGGGACGATCTCTCTACAAGGGACAAAATCGTTGGCCCCCTACTAGTGTCCCTTGTTTGGAGGTTCCACTGTAGTTTCTTTAAGCATGCACAAGAATGCATGCTCAGTACCTAAGGTGTACACCTATTCCAGACCAGTTGCATATCTCAGTCTGGACAAGAACGGTAGAACAGCCACGCGAATGTCTCACTGACCTGTTTCTCTCTCCCCCTCCCTCCCTCTCTCTCTCTCTCCCCCCGCTAGTCATACAGCTCTCCACTGTGCCGCCTACGGAGGTCACCTGGAGACAGTGCAGCTGCTCCTCGAGGCAGGGTCAGAGGTCAACCTCCAGGATAACGAGGGGATCACCGCTCTTCACTGGGCCTCATCTGTTGGCCACACCCCCATCGTTAGCCTCCTCCTCTCCTTTGGTACATACGTCATTAATTTAACCAAGAGCCTGATATATGTAACTTATTACAGGGGCCAACCCCACTATTTAATGATTGGGTATAATTTTGCAGGGGCCAACCCAACTGCCTAATGATCGGGTATAATTTCAGGGGCCAACCCCGCTACCTATGATTGGGTATAACTATAGGGGCCAACCCCACTGCCTAATGATCCCATATAATTATAGGGGCCAATCCCACTAGCTAATGCTTCATGGATATAATTACAGGGGGCAACCCCACTATGTCATGATTGTTTGTAATTACAGGGGCCAACCCCACCATGTCATGATTGTTTGTAATTACAGGGGCCAACCCCACTGTATTTGAGGTGGACGGGGAGCAGTTGACTCCACTGGACTATGCAGTGATAGGTCAGCACCAGGAGGTGGCAACTCTCCTCATAGAACATGGAGCTCTCTCCATCAGCCTCGTCAGGGACCTCGCTGCCATCTGCATTCAGAAGGTCTGTTGTGTATATGTACGTATGTACCACTTAGTGATACCACATACAGTGGGAAACTGTTGAGGAGAATTTTTTTGCGATTTTTGGATAGTTTAATATTATTTTTTCACAGACAGTAGCTTGGCTACTAGTACACTGTAAGTCTACTCCATAGGCCAAGTGACTGCACAGTCATGTTGAGGAACTACTGTTTACGATAATGTAAGAGAGTTAACTATGTATGATCTAAGAAATGGCATAATCATATGTGATTGGTCAGTCCTACAATCCCACCACTTCTTTCAGTATTCATGATCTCACACGAATCTCCAAATAAGGTGAGGCATGAAACAGTCTACAAATCTCAGGCTGTGAATATTGGTAGAGTGACAGAAAGTCAAGGGCTGTTTCCTGTCAGTCTCAGTTTCACCCATTTCTTGGAGTTAGCCGGCCTGTGCTTGCTTCTTGCTTCAACAGCTTGGTTGCCTCAGTCTTCACTAGACCCTCTCTCTAGCTACTGGTTACGATAACGTAAGAGAGTTACATGGATGCATACCTGTATCACTAAGTCTGT